CACTAGCCAGAAAAGATCATTTCTGTAGAATGGATACCAATGGAGCACAAAGGGCAAGTGTTGTGGTAGATACAGATATCGCTAATGGCAGTTCTTGTGCAATTGTAATTATTGTTGAATATTGATATGATTTAAATCTGATACCCCTTGGTATCGATAGTGATAGTAAAACGTGGTTTCCATTTCCAGCAAGAAAAGGGCCTGCACATGCTCGCTCTGCCTGTTTCCCTCTCCTCCTTGCCCATGTTTTCCGTGTGTGTGTGTGTGTGTGTGTGTGTGTGTGTGTGTGTGTGTGTAGGGCTGAGGTTCAGGGCCATGGTGACTCCTCCCACACCTCTGAAGTATGACCAAGCTGTGTAGACGGTGTGGGGAGCATTGAAAGGGGAGTCTGGGGACCACCCAGCACGTCAGTTCTCTCTGCCATGGGCACAGGGATGACGCCCAGGCCTGGCTGATGTCCATGAGCCCTCCTCATCTCCAGGTTCCTGTCCACCAGGTCAGGCTGGGTTGTCATCGCCCCCTGCTGGTCAGATGAGGATGGGTATTTAGTGGGGGAGGGGCTCAGTCTCAGGAGACTGCTCCCTGGGACTGCCTAGGGCTCACCACCTGGGTGGGGCCGGGACCACAGGAACAATGGTCTGTTTCAGGCCACCAATAAGCATGATCATTATTAACTGCTGTGTGTTAAGTGCTTTTCCCCCATTATCATCTCACCCCCTAATGACCTATGGGATTAACACTGTTATTATAATAAATTATAATCCCTATTTTACAGCTGAGAAAACAGACTCAAGAGGTGGGGTAACTTATCCAAGGCCATAAGCTAGAAAGGGGCAGAGATGGTTTTGCTGCCCAGATCTGGCCGCCTCCCATAAACCCGAGTGTCACGCTGTCCAGGACTGGCTAACATGGGCACAGGAGGCAGCTGGCACCATGGGAGGCATCGGGAAACCTGGTACTACTTTGTCCACTTGGCTGCTCTGTGACCTTCAGCCAGTCCGTTGCCCTCTGGCCTCAGTTAACCTCGTCTGTAAAATGAGAACTTGAGCCACATACCCGGAGGCCCTTCCTGCCTCTGATTCATTCCCCACCCTCATCTCCTTCCATCAGTAATCCCTTATGATACGGGCACCGCAGGCTAACGAAGGCTCTTAACCTGGGTCCCTGGGCCTCTTGGGGCCCCGTGAAGGGCCTGAAGTTGTGAATGAAAGTGCACCTGAGTGTGTGCGCGCCCCATTTGCATTTTCCAGGGAAAGTGTCCATATCATCATCAGATTGTAATCCCCGACGGCTAAGAATCATTGGTTATCCTAACCTTTTAGAAAGAATCGCCCTAACTCGATCTAAACTTTTAGGGGAATGAGTGGAGCAAGTTGAGTCAGGTGTAAAATTCTCCCCTTCACTCTGTGTGTCCGTCCCCCAGACTTCTGGAGCCACCAGCTCTTCGCCCCAGGCTTCCACCCTCAGCCGCACTGACCTCTGGAGACCCCGCCCCCACTGCTCCGGGTTAGTCTCTGCCTCGGCGCTGACGCTCTGATCCTCTCCCTTGTCATTGCGAGTCTTCATGCTAGTCTTCATCCCCATGTCCTTCCCTGGACCTGCTTCGCCCGGACAGGCCGGTCTTTCCAGAGGTAGGTGCAGTGACCAGGTTGGCCAGTAGGGGTCGCTGGGCTGATGAACCCGTTGAGCATGGGAGGCAGAATCTCACGTCTTATTGGCCCTTTTGGCAGACCCAGGGTGAGGAAAGGAGGCCTGTGTCTGGGTCTGGACCTTCCTCTTGGCAGCTTTTTCATCTGTAAAGTGTAAAGTGGAGGGAGGTGGCCTAGGTTGCTAGGCAACCTTCCATCCCTGAGGTCCTGGGGACCTTGCTGGTGGATGCTGGAGGGAGGGGGTTGTCTTGAACTCCCCTTGGCAGAAGCACTTGGACCAGCATCCTTAGGGAATGGAACAAAACTCCAGAGCCCTTTCCCAAACTTGACTGAGAAAACAGAGCAGCTTAAGGGGAAGCTGGAAGAAAGGAGGGTTCTAAACAGGGCTGCCCCAAGAGCTGCCTGGGAGGCCTCCGGGGGGGGTGGGGGGGCCTTGATTCAGGGCTGATGGGGCCCAGGTGGCGGATGGCCGTGTGCTGGTATGCGGCTTCTGCCAGTGTCTGGAGAAGCCCAGGCAGACCCTGGTGAGAGGGAGAGAAAGCGTTGTCCTACCTTCAGCAGAGGCAGGCCCCGGGAACAGGATGGCGCCTGGGCCGCCTCCCCACTCAGCTGCTGGGGGTCTCCAGTGGGCTCATCCCAGTTCTGAGCCCTCTCTCTCCATCAGTTCCAAATTCTGGGCCCAGGGAGCAGGTGAAGGCCCGGGGGTGAGGGCAGGCCCTGCGGAGAGGCCCAGGGAGGAGTGCCCAGCCGCCCATCCCAAGACTCCCTCCAAGGAATAGGACCAAGTCCTCAAAGGCACAAAAGACCCTCTCCCTCTCCCACCCCACCCCCTTGCCCACTTCATCCAACCCTCTCCCACCCCCACGTGATTAAAGAGCAGGACACAGGCATGACAATGCGGCAGAACATACTCTGAAAAGGTTATAATGAACCTGCAGGAGGGGCGCTGTGCACAGGGTGGGAGTCACAGAGCCCGCCCCCCCCCCCCAGCACAGGAGAACAGGAGGGGCTGAGGCAGGGCACAGCCAGGAACAGGGGAGAAAGGGCGGCACCTGGGGCCCAGAGGAAATCTAGTCGGCACTTGGGGTGGCCCCAGGCTCAGGCCAAGAACAGGGAGGAGGACTGGGGTGGCCTCAGGGTGGCAGTGGCAGGCAGCACAGCCCTCCGGGTGGGACCAGGCACTACAGACCACCTCCATCACACCTCCAGCTCTGGGCATGGCCGGACGGGGCCCACACCCAAGACACCCAAAGGGAGGCCTGTGGCATTCTTTGGGGGTTCCCTTTCCCTGCCCCAGTCAGGGAAGGAGTGGGGTAGGGAGGGCTGTGGCAGTGCTCCCAGCAGAAGCTGCTTCCAAGCTGAAGGTCGGGGATGGGGTCCATTGCATGGGGGTGGGCATGTGCTCACACATGTGGGTGGGCCCCTGAGCGTCTCCCACATCTGTGACCTTGGTCTGACTGGAGAGCTCCGAGGACACCTGTCTGAGGACCCTCTGGGGTTGGCCTTTCTCCTACGAGCTCTCGCTTAGCCACTACTCATGCAGAACAGGCGGCCGCCCAGCGGCTCCCAGGCCTTGAGGGAAATCACCAACCAACCCGCAACACAGGCACACAGAGCCCTGGAGACAATCAGCAGCTGAGCTTATCCACCTCCTCAGGCTGCTCCAGTGTCCGCATGACGGCCTGCCCATACTGGGCTGGACACCCTGCCATGCCCAGCTCCACCTGCCTCGGGCCCGGGGCCATAATACTGCAGCCAGTTACTCTAGCACCTTGCATCTGTGGCCCTGACCCTCTGGGGTCCCTGGGGGGCCAGGCTACTCAGCCAAGGAGAGGGGAGGTGGAGGAGGACAGGGTAGGAAGGGCAGAGTCAGGCTGGGCTCCACCCCAGGGTGAGCTGGGAAGGACACCAGTCACCCCCGCCCCATACACACACACACACACACACACACACACACACACGCACTCCAGCCTGGCACTCCAACTCCCCAGCATGGCCGGTGGGAGAAGGAGGGGGGGCTGGCTGTGCCAGGGGCAGGGGTGGGGACTGAGGTCAGGGCATTTGGCTGAAGAGTCGAGCCAGGACCTCTCTGGAGTGTGAGGCGAGGCAGCCCAAACTCTTCTCTTCCCAGAAATGCAGGACATGAGCAAGTGTCCAGCCTGAGCAATGGGATCCCTGGAGGAGGGATTGGGGGGACAGCGGCCCCTGGGACAGGCTGCGCCCACCCCTCACACACCCACTCCCAGCTGCTCTCATGAGCACTAGTCTAGTCCCCGGGCCTCCTGCAAATCCACATGTCCTTTAGGGCCACTCCAATGGGGGTGGCTCAAGGGCTCCAGGCCCCTTCTGGGCGCCTCCAGGCCATACCCTCTGCTTCCGAGTCCTTGCCCCTGGGGAGGGGCCAGGGCTGCAGGGCTGGCAACTGTGGAGACTTCGTGGCCCCACCGTGGGTTGTGGCAACTTGCAATTCACTTTGGTCTGGGAGAGAAGGCCCCTGTTATCTGTAGAGAAAGAGACAGAAACAGACCTCAGAGAAGAGCCTCTGAGCCGGGTTCAACCAAGACTGGCCATTTGGACAACTTACCGTTGGCCAGGCTGATGGTCAGGAATGGGGACACTTGCCTAGGGGTGCCCACCCCACACCCCAAACTCTAAACCAGACTGCCTCCCCACATCAACCCCTGCCCACACATGTAGGGTAAAGGCCGGAGACACGAAAAGGGCTTGTGGTTTGCCATTGAGGGAGGGGTCGGGGCAGGGATGGGCCACGGCTCGGCCAGTGTGGCAGCAGCTCTGAGCTCCCGGTGGCTTCCGGAACGCAGTTGACAACACTGCTCTTCCTGGGAGTCACCTAGTCCCCAGGCTTTAGAGTCACATAGACCGGGAGCCAGCCCAGCTCTGCCCCGAGCAGCAGCAGGCCCTCGGGGTGAGCTACCCAAACCCTCTGAGCCCCCACTTGCTCACTAGAAAGTGGGGGTGATCTAGCCCCGCGCTGGGGAGCTGGGAGGATTTAATGAAAGGACAAGTGCAAGGAGCCGGGACTTGGGAGGGCTCCAAACATCCCAGCGATGATGACTGTGACCACCATGTCTGTCCAGACTAAGACACCCACTTCCCCAAATTCTGATAAGCCCACAACCGAGGTGCACTTTACATTCGCTGTGATAAGAAAGCCTGGGTGAAAGTCTTCACCAATTGGCAGCCTCTTTTTCTGAAGGGGGGGGGCGTGGTTAAAGAAAATAAGTGGGGCCTCATGTGATGGATGGGGACTACCCCTCACTTCCGGGAAAAGCAGATCCCCTCCCCCTCCAACCCCTGTCTCCCCGCCCATTGGGGGGGGGGGGCAGGCACTCACAGCTCCGTGTCCTCCAGGGCCGGTGGGCGCTCCAGCGCCTGCCTCCGCCTCCGCACGGCCCCCAGGATCTTCTTGCGGGACCCCAGGGGGACGCTGATGCTGCGGAGGTCGAGGTCTGAGCACAGCATCAGGGCTTCCAGGTCGATCTTCTCCTGCCGCAGGAGGGAGGCGAAGTCCTCCAGGTGCAGGGAGGCCAGGAAGGTCTCCAGCGGGCTCGTCTCGGGCTCCAGGTCCTCATCGAGGCCCAAGTCCAGCTCGTCCCAGGGCAGCTCCCCCCCGCAGCTGCGCTCCTGCAGGCTGTTGGCACTGCCCAGGCTGTCGTCGTCCAGGCTGGGGGAGCTCTGCAGCCGGCCCCGCGGCGTGCCCGCGCCGTCCAGCGCCGCGTCCTCCCGGCCCAGCCCCTGCAGCCCGCTGCTCAGGTAGTTCCTGCGGAACACCATGGTGCCCAGGCCCGGGCGGGTAAACAAGGAGTCGTGGCCTGAGTCGGTGCTGACCTCCGAGTGGGCAGGCTCGGCCGCCAGCGTGGCACGGGAGACGCTGTCCTCGTCGGAGAGGAACATGTCCCGGAGCGGGGAGCGCCCCCACTCCTTGGGGTTGGCGTAGTTGCCCTGGCGCACGAACATCACGTCGCTGCCCAGCTGCAGGCCCGAGAGCGAGCGCACGCTCTTGCGGCCGTCCTCCGAGACCTTGAAGGTGCCCTCGCCGCCGTGCTTGCGCCGCTCCAGCCTCCGCTGGATCTTGGTCTTGCCCCTGTTGGTGCCATGCAGGGTGGCCTGCGAGTAGGGCAGGTGGCTGCCCAGCGCCAGGTGCTGCAGCCGGCGGCTCAGGGTGCTGGACGTGAGGCTGGAGAAGCTGAGCGTGTCGGAGCGCTCGGCCAGCTCGCGCCGGTAGCGCCGCTCCATGCGCTCGTGGTGCTTGCGCTGCATCTTGGCGCACTCGCGGATGCGCCGCTCCGCCTCGCGGAAGGCCTTGTCCTTCAGCTTGCCCACCAGCTTGGGGTTGAGGCTGCTCTGCTTGGCCGCGATGGAGTCCAGGTAGCGCACGCACTCCATGTGGCCCTTCATGGCGGCCATGTCCAGCGGGGTGTGGTAGTCGTTGTCCAGGCACCAGATGTTGGCCCCGAAGGACACCAGGAAGGAGAGGCAGTGCAGGTGGCCATTGGAAGCGGCCAGGTGCAGGGGCGTGTTGCCCCAGATGTCACACTTGTCCGGGTCGCCCCTGCAGGGAGAACACGTGGGGAGGGGGGATGAGCCACCGCAGCTCAGGCGGGCCGTCGGCAGTGGCTGCGGGTGAGGGGAGCTCCCAGCCTCCCCCACGGGCACACCGGCGGACCCGAGGGCCTGAGATCTCTCCTGATTCCAGGAGACTCGCAGCCCTGGGCCGCTGGTCGGATGTAGACCTGGCCCCGGGTCCGCAGGGGGTGGGGCGACAGAGAAGGCGGGGCCAGGGCGGGGCTTTCCCCAAGAGAACTGAGGGCTGGGAATCTCAGGGGATGAATAATTGATGCCCAGAGAGAAAGGGGTGAATTATTCATGGGGCCCAGTGGGGAGCTGGCCCAGAGAGGTGGTGGGCCAGGGCGAGTCTGGGTCTCTAGGCAGGCGTGGTGGCGAGCGTGGCTGCGTGTGCGGGGGTGATCGTAGGAGGATGAGGGGTGGTGTGTGCTGGGCCCGAGCCCTGGGTGAGTGCGGGTGCGTGAGGGTGTGTGCCTGCGTGGCGGCGGGCACGGCCATGTCTGCAGGGAGCAGGGCCAGGCCTGGCAAGCCCGAGTGTGAGAGCAGGTGTCGGGTCTTGGCCTGGGCCAGAAGGGGAGCGTGGGGGCAGCCAGGACTCGAGGGAGGAGGAGGGAAGTCTGCAACCGGGGCCCAGCGCCCTCTCCGCCCCGCGGCCCCATCTCTAGGAGCCCTTCGAGGCGGGCCTGACTACGGGACCCGCCCAGCCCCTGCAGCACCCTCCACACCAGCAGGGTCCCCCCAGCACGGCAGCCTCCCGCTGGCTCCTCCAAGCTCTCCCCTCCCGCAGGAGCCCAGCTCAGTGCCTCTGCCTCGGGCTAATGAGGCCACAAGGCCACCCCTCAGGGCTGGAGAAAGAATCGCCCCTTTGTCACTACCGCTCCCTGAGCAACCCCCTCCTCACTTCCCTTCCAAGTTGCCAAGTCCCGCAGGACCATGTGGGGAGGGGCTGCTGGGCATCTGGTGTCCACACCGAGACACCACCCTTGCCCTTTGTGGGAGTTGGGGGGGGGGGTGAGTCCCCCTGAGGGAGGGGCAGGAGGGCAGGATCACGTGTGTCCTCTTGGGGTGGAGAGGGGCCAGTCTTAGCCTTTTGGAACATGGTTCAGCTGTCTGGTTGTAGGGGCTGCCCACCCCCCCCCCCGCCCCCCACCTGCTGGGCCCCAGGAACAGCCACCCAAGGCGGGCAGGGGGTTCCCCCACCCACCACATAGTCAGGCCACAGGCCAGCACCTGGCGCTCCACCACGTGCCCAGGACCCTCCTAGGGCATCTCCTCCTCCTCCTCCTCCTCCTCCTCCTCCTCCTCCTCCTCGTCTCTGTCCAGGCTGCCCTGGTGTCTGTCCGCTTCAGCCTGCCTTCTCTTTCTAAATCCGCTGGGGGCGGGGAGTTGTCCACAAAGCCCTTCAGCCCCAGGAATCCCCTTCAGTCCCTGAACCCTGCATTCCTCAACGGCTACCCCCAACCCCTTCCCTGGCCCTGACGCCTGGGCTCTATGCTCCCCCTCCCCCTAGACAATTCCAAAGGGAGGGAGGGGAGCCTTCCGTGGGGGAGGGGGCAGCGGGAGTTGCGGGCTGGCTGAACCCAGTGACATTTGGTGCTGTGGGCAATGTCCATAAATCCCGGCAGGGAGTCAATAGAGAGAGTGTGAGCCCAGCCACGGGGCTATGGGTGGACACTGCTGGGCGAACCCTCAGATCCAGGCTGGGTGGGGCAGCGGGGACCCCTCCTTTCCTAGCCTCCCTCTGTCTCCTCTGAGGCGTCGGCACCTTTCTCTCCCCTTCTCACTGTGCTTCTCACACTTGCTCGAAGGTGCCGCTCAGGCAGGAAAACCTCTTCACTCTCCCCCCTCCCCCTGGTAGCCTCTTCCCACAAGATAAATC